GACACAACATCTTTGTTGGTATGTGGTGCTGAGGATCGAACCCGGGCCGCACGCATGCCAGGTGAGTGCGCTACCGCTTGAGCCACATCCCCAGCCCGAAGCTACTAATTCTAACCTTAAGGAAATTTAGAGAAAGTTGTCATTTTGACCAGGTTCAGTTCACTATGATCAATAATAGATAAAACAACTGAAAATCTTATATAAAGCTAATGTCCCATGGATAAAAATCCATCACACATCTTATTCATTTGGAAGTATTCATTGAAAATCCATGTCCAAGATGTTGCTGGTATTCTGTGGGATACCAAAACAACTGGCAGTCTAGTAAGGGAAATCACACATGCAAACAAAACACCAACAGTGTGAGTTGAAGAATATAGAGTCTCATCAAAAGGATTCAGACCAACCCAGCCATGAGATGCTGAGGCCACGCTGTAGAGGAGCTGGTACCTGAACCAAGCCTTATGAAGCTGACAGAATAGGATGTGATGAATTGAAGACAGGTAGGCAGGGAGTGGCATGAACAAAAGTAGATAGTCCTAAAGCATGGCTGAATAATGAAGAATGTGGTGAATCCAGTAAAGAATAAATATGCTTAAAAATGAGAGTTGTGCTGTGTTTACAGATAGGCACATACTCTTTGGAAGCTGTGTGGCCCACAGCTAATGGGGGACTCATTAAGGATTTTAGGATAAAGAAGAAACATCCTCAGCACTGGGCTGAAGGAGATTCATCATCCAGTGGAGTGAAAGCCAGGGCACAAGGCAGAATTGAGAGGCCCCTACCTTTGCTCCAAGGCAGGTCTCAAAGTCCTTTTTCATGTCAGACACAGCGACTTTGTCCTGAGGCCTCTTGGGTCCACTGCAGCAAGGTACAACTGTTTTCAAATCTAATTCCACAACCTGTTCACCCAAGCAAAAAGGAATTATAGAATTCACACTATACCCACAGATAAGAAACATAGCCATGACAGAAAATTTAAAATCTTACAACAATAAAAATAAGCAAATAAAGAAGCAAATCTGCCACATTCCAAATAAAGGAAAGAGGAAACATGTTTGGTGGAAGGTGCTCTTATACCTGGGTGAAGTCTGGGTCTTGAGAGCAGTCACTAAAATCTCGAAACATTCCTACAGCCTGAAGATACTTTTTAATGTGCTTGACTTTGTTTTCATCCCGACCTAAATGGCATCAGGAGTACCAAGAAACATGTTAATAATAATATTCCCAGAAGCAGTCACATAATTAAATGTTTTATGTACTCATACCTTTGTTATCTTTCAGATTCCAGGCTTTACACTGTGACCCTCTGGCTGATGCTGCGTTTTATTAGGGACTATTAACTGTTCTGTTTCCTACCAAAGTGACTATTTTCTGGAAAGGTATTGGTTCTACCCATAGATACTCCTCTTTTTGGCCCTTAATTAAGAGAATTGTAAGTCTGAGCTAATTGTCAAAGTGCACCTATATATATCTATCTTCAATTGGCCAAGAAGACTCTTGGCACACTATATTACTCTTGTTAAAATCATTATCCAACCCATCCCAACACCAAGCCTTCTGATATTCGTACTTTCTGTGTGCTTAATACTGTGTGTTAAATGGGCTAACTACATTATTCCATACTCTAATCCTTTATCCTGACCTTATGAGACAAATACTTTAAAGATGAGGAAACAGTAGCTCAAGATTAGGTAACCATCCTGTAGAACACAGCTAATAAATGGTAGAATCAGAATTTGAATCTGAGTTTGCTTTCAAAGTCCAAAGTCTTAACTTACAGTGCTGTCATCAGGAATACAACCCTGAACCTTCTGCTCTTTTCAAGATCTTGGTATAGGAGATAATAGTATTCATGAAGTATGCTCAGTAGACACACTATTGACCCATTTCTCTGATAGTTAAATGAGACTGAAATTCTGACCCATAGATCAGAATTTGTCTGTTTGTATTAACTGAATTGTAAAGATCATCAGCTTTCAGCACAGACCTCATAAAAGATGGCTATATGAGCTTTATTAACAATCTATCATGGCCTGTGGCAAACCCACTGTTCATTATACCCCATGCCATCTTCTTCATGAACATGAACAAGAGAGATTTCTCTTAGCGTTTATAAAGAGAAAAGATCTCATTCTTTTGAAGAAGTATGCTTACTTCAATTTAACAGTATACAAATTTGGCACTGGGTCACCACCAGTACTGCAGAAATGAGCCCAACCTCTGAACAGACTCTGCAGCTCTTCTCCCTTTCCCATTCATTGTCCCTCTCCTTTTCTTTTTTCAGGTTAATGCTCTCTATTATTTATTCTGTTCCTTTATTACTATCTTTTTCACTTCAAATCCTTTGAAGGCAACAAAGGACTTGTGGGAACATATTAATTCCAATTCAGTTATATTTGGTAAAACACTTTTTAAAAAATAAATGTTATTCATCATAATTTTTACTGTTTCCAGAAGAATTTCCTCATAGGGAGAAGACTTGGATTTATTAGGATTCTACAAATCCCTTCCCATAGCTTGCCCCCTCCCTTCACTCAGACATCTGTCCAATTTAAAGTTCCATCAGCCCCTTGCTGACTTTTCTATAGAAAAAGTACTCTTAAGCACTCTGACCACTTCCTGGCTTTCTTCTTCATTGTCACACTTTTGTGTCTGTTCAATGGTATTCCTTCTTCCTCCCTCATAGGAACATAAGCTATATGAGGGCAGGGTCTTTATTTATCTTATCTACTGCTTCCTGTCTGGGATCTAGGCTTGATACTGACTGTAGAAAATGAGTAACAGAATGAACATTGAATATTTTTTTTTTTGTACTGAAGATTGAATTCAGGGGTACTTTACCCCTGAGCTACATCCCCAGTCATGTTTTGAATTTTAAATTTTGAGACAGGGTCTAGCTAAGTTGCTTAGGGCCTTGCTAAATCGCTGAGGCTTGACTGAACTTGTGATCTTCTATTTCAGTGTCCCAAGCCTCTGGGATTACAGGTGTAAGCCATTGTGCCTGCTGAGAATTTATTTTTAAAAAGGATTTCTCAAAGAAAAAGTCAAATGTCTAAGCAAATTTATACCAAGTTAAAGATCCATTGATATAAAATACCTTCTTATGTCTCTCATTTCAGTTATTGGACAACATGAGATGGGCACTGCAGAGTGAGGGCCCTATTTGGAGCCAAACAGCTGCAGGCTAGGATTCCAACTGTTACTTATTAGCCTTAGGTAGTAACATTTCTCTGATCATCAGTTTTCTCTCCTACTATTTAACTAACTAATCCATCTCCCCTGTGGATATGTGAAGAGGAAGACAGCAAATGCATGCCAAGTGCCTGGTCTACTACAGCTACATTACTAACCTAACTTGTTCATGTCAGAAACTAGTTGCAGAAAACCCAGTACAAGTATCCAGGTTTCTGTAGCACCACAGCTCTTCCTATGGGCAGTACTACCTCTGACTTATACCTCCTTAAATCCCAACAACTCATCTTGACTTCACAGAGTGAAAAAAAAGCCATGTAACTCTATGCTAAGAGCATTGTGAGGGACAGAGAAAGAAGGCAGGGCTCAGATTCTCAGTGTTCCATGAAACTTTAACAAGGAACTCTCTGCTTTCAGTCCTTCACTTACCTGTCTGCACCAGGTACTTGATACTAACTTCATCAACTGGGAAAAAGGCAGCTGTTGCTCCATATTCTGGACACATGTTTGCAATTGTAGCTCGATCAGCAATGGACAATTGGGCTACTCCTGGCCCAAAGAACTCGACAAATTTGCCCACAACCCCAACCTGGCGGAGGTGCTAACCAGCAGAAACAACAGAAACATTTGAGACTTGACAGCCTAGATTTAAAATGAAGAACTGTCATCTTGTAATTCTTATAATTCTTTACATTCCCTTATTACATGTAAACATAAGTAATAAATTAGCCCAACACACTTCAGATTATTTTAAAAAACAAAACTTAAAACGCAATGCCATCTGAATGCAACATGACATCCTGGACTGGATCCTAGAACAGCAAAGGGACATTAGTGAAAAACCTGGAGAAGTCTGTGGCTAAAAGTGCCATACCAATGTTAACTTCTTGGCTTTGAAAAATATATCATGGCTATGTAAACTGTTAAAAATAGGAGAAGCTGGGATAAAGGTAACAGGGACTCTTTCTATTTTTTTTTTCCTGTAAATCTAAGATTATATCAAAATAGTTAGGGCCAAAATTACAATAACATTTAGGAACTTTTCTTAATGAGAAGCACTCTTTGGATCACTAGAAGTGCCAAGTGTTAAAAAATTGAATTTTTCCAATCTAAATAAATCTAAATTATTATGCAGTCATACTAGTTGAATAAGTAAATGACATATTTTCAAAAGTATAATGCATAAAATTCATGTAACAAGTCAAATGTAACATCAATAACAAAAATATTTTCTAACCCCATCTTTCCACACAAGCCATCAGCCTGCCAAGGCTCTGGGACTGCTGGCACTTTGTAAAAAGCCAGTTTCACAGAACACAGACAATTACACAGAAAAGCTCTTTTGATTATGTGGATTCTGAAAAATTTTGTGGGAAAGTTCTATATTATTCCGTGTTTGAAAAACAGTGTATAAATATTTGTGATAAGTGATAAGCTATGGTGTTCAAACAAATCCAATTCCAAATTACACAAAATTAAATCAAAGAGAAACTTTTAAAATGTCTTTTTGGCCTTTTACAGTGTGGTGCCTATATAAAAGAAGCAAATCAGACACACCAAAAACAGATGGTTTCTTACAAAATTTTAAGAAAAAATACCCTAATATTTCCCAACCTGGAAAACCATCTCTTATAATGATGTAATTTATAATACAAATAAGTAAATTTAAAAACTCAAAACATCACAGGGAACTAATTTGTTATTTACAAATAAAGAGAAACCATGTGGAAAAATGTAGCCAAAGTATTAAGATATGCATGGAAATGATTCTTACAACTACAGGATAGTGATTATTTCTAGGAATGGGAAGCAGGGTTTAGCCATAACACTATATATTTACTTCTTTAAAAACAGTCACGATGCAAATATGACAAAATATTATCATCTGTTAAATCTAAGAAGTGGGCATACAAATATCATTTTAATTGCTGCATATTTAAACCATGTCACAATTTTTAAAATTAAGAAAAAGATCTGGGTAGCTAAAGAAGAGTAAAATGCACATAACCATCTAAACCACAGAATATTCCCATTATCTCATCTCTTTTTAAAACTATCAATGTATTGTTTCCTAGCATTTACAGAGACCCAACTATCTATCTCTTCCCTGTTTGTCACTGAGTTACCTTGGTAATGGTGAGCACAATGTCAGTGGATGTTACCAGAGCTTGGGGCTTTCCCATCAACCTGTAGCCAATCACCTGGGGAAGCACCATGCTGATCGGTTGACCAAGCATGACAGCTTCTGCTTCAATACCACCCACACCTGCAACAAACAGGATGGCCAGAATAATGCTTCATTATTTCTCATTGTATCCCTCAACTATCAATTCAATAAACACAATTATAATGTTTAACTGGTAGAGCTGTGGTTCTATAAGAAGCAGTTATTCTATTTTCCTCTATACAATCTTTTACAAGTGTTTCTTAAAGTATGTCCCTACCAGTATTTGTCATCAACATCCCCCAAAGCTACATCCAGTGGGGTGGGTAGGGTTTAGGAGTCTGTGTTTTTTTGTGTGTGTGTGAGGGAGTTACTAAGAGACTGAACCCAGGGCTTCAATGCCAGGCAAGCCCTCTACCACTGAGCTACATTTCTAGCCCTTTTTCTATTTTTTATTTTGAGACAAGGTATTACTATGTTGTTCAGGCTAGTCTCAAGCTTGGATCCTCATACTTCAGCCTCCCAAAGATGCTGTGATTACAAGTTTGTGTCACTGTGCCTGGCAGGAGTCTCCATTTTTTTTTTTTAAATAAGTTATACTCCGTGTATGTATATTTTATTTTATTTATTTATGTGGTACTAAGGATTTTATGTGGTACTGAGGATCGAACCCAGTGCCTCACATGTGCTAGATGAGCACTCTACCAATGAACCACAACCTCAGCCCCAGGAATCTCCATTTTTAACAAACATCTCAGTTGATTTTTATTTATGCAAAGTGTCCCTAACCTATTATTGCAGTTTATTTTTCCAAACAAAATCTGAATTTCTATTAGATGCAAGGCACTTTCCTGGGCACTGGAAATACAACAGTGAACAGACAAAAACAATTCTCCTATTCATGTGATTATGCAAATACAGCTACTGAGATTTAATTGCAGCAAAGTGAATTAAGGTACATACTCCAGAAGAGCATATATGGAAAAGGAACGTGGAAGTACACTTACCCCAACCAAGAACACCCAAACCATCAATCATGGTAGTGTGTGAATCTGTGCCCACAAGGCTATCTGGGTAATAATATCCATCCTGATCAAACACCACTCTTGCCAAGTACTCCAGATTCACCTGGTGGATGATTCCTGAACCAGGGGGAATAATCCTCATGTTGCGAAAAGCCTGAGAACCCCACTGGGATTGAACAGAAAGAACATCATGAATACCAACATAATTCCACTCTGCCCAGTCTGAACACCTCTCTCTTGTACCCCACAAACAGAAAACCAAATAACAAAACCAAACTCTGCCCATACCTTTAAAAATTCAAATCGTTCTTTATTTCTTTCAAATTCTAGGTCCTGATTCTTCTGTAAACTGTCAGCCCTGTGAGAAAGAAAAACTAAATGTATAAACTTCAATGCTTAATGTATTATGGGTGAAATTTATTAGTGATGAATAAACAAAATGGCAATTTTATAATCAAACTGCATTGTTTTGAGTTATTTCACAACTCCAATTTTAGCACAGAGACAGTGCTCATAATTTGATTATCACAGATTGAAGAAACACAGTAATCAAAGACCGAAATCAGACTTTATAAGTTAACATAATTAAACGTTTACTAATATTACATGTTTCAGGATCCAGATAAAGTGACACTCCTTTGGACAACAATGACTCCTCAGTCAGGATGATTTGCCCCTTCTCTCTGGTGACTACTATATTAAAGGTGTGTGTTCACTTATCCTCTTTCTTCTTAAACTAACCTGTTTTCTGAATAAATAGTGCTCATAGTATGTCCATTAAGTTGATTTAATTTAAAAACCCCACAACCCCAACCCCCTAAACCCCAAGAAAGCACCTCCAACCATATTTCTACTAGTACAGGTGAGAAAATATGGTCCTGCCCCTGTGCCTGTACTTTGTGCACTTCTGGATTCTCGTCACTTTTTCCTCTTCCCTGCAGCACCAGGAAGATATGAGAGCTTCTCATAGCATAAACAGGGCTGAAAGGGAAACATCTACCTGAGGAAATGTTGGGTGCATCTATCTGATCGATGCAACATATTCACAGGATGAGCAGAGGCCAGAAACACTTAGGCTGTTCTATAACATGGTATTTCCAGGTACTAAATCTCATGAAAACAAAACAACTATTATGTTAAAGTTGGCTCAATTAGCCTAATTCTAGTTACTAGAATGAATAAACAGAGTTCAGTTTTTTTTTAATCACTCAGAACTTTAATAAATTAGCCCAATGTAGTAATCTTTTAATAAGGTCTCTGAATGTGAATGACCTCATAGACTAAAGGGAAAATTTCTTCTTAGTTATATAATTTGAATTCACATTTGGACATAGTTCATAGTTCCTGAGAATTACACTGAATGGTGCTTTAGCAGTTCCCAAGTAATATTTTATAGACAAGACAGTTTTCATACTCATAAAATCTGGTCAGAAATTGTGAAATTTTTGCTGGAATTTTTAAAAAGGGTATTTCCAAGGTAACTGTATAAAACAGTATAATAATGTGTTAGTTAGATCCTCAATTCCCAGATGATGTGAGGCCAAATAGTATTATTCAAATTAGACCAAAAATTATTTTCAGAAATATTTAACTAAAAAATGTCTCACCCTACTACCCTTATCCAGTTTTTCTAGCTCATTTCTGGAACAGAGATGAAAATAAGCTCAAAGCACACAGTTCCAAAAGAGTTGAGACATATCACATTTAATTCTTTTAAAAAATGACAAAATGAGAAAAGAAACCAGGAAGTGGAATTGCAAAACCAAAACTCAAGAAACAACAAAACGCCACCAATGAAAATGTTTCTAACAAAAATGTTCTAATTACATATTTTCACTAGATTTGAATATCTGAATCAAAGTTCACCCCTGCTTTCACAATAAGGTTTTCAGTACTACAGTATAAATGAAAAAGTCTATTAAAAAATTGAAACTAGAGTTTCAATTTAAAAGGAAAAAAAAATCAGAAGGTGCTTGGTAATGACCCAGTGCATTAATAACCATGAATACTTTAAATTTTGAGTCAGCAGACTTCAGACATGAAATCAATTACAATTCTGTTTCCACTGGTACTTTCACCTTCCAGACGAGTGAAATGAAAGAAAACCTAGGAACATCAAAATGAGTCTCTAAGAAAGATGGCTATTATTTGTGAGTCTACTTTTATAACTTTTGAAGTGGGACTTTAGGAAACAACCTTACTTTCAAATAGAATAACATTTTATGCCTATATTTTTAACTCTTCCTTTTGAAACCAAAATATTGAATTGAGCTCATGTAATTTAAAAGACAAGAAAAGACAGAGAAAGAGAGATGTTGCCTACGGATGGTTTCAGGGTTGAAAGAGAAAGTTGACATTTGTCAACTTCAATCTCTTTGTCCCAAGAACTGTCAATTTTGGGACAAAGCACATTTTTTTGAATTTATCTTGTTTGGATATTTGCAATATTAACTGGGGAATGGTCATTTTATAACTCTGAGCCACATCCCCAGTCTTATTTATTTTTTATTTTTAGATGGGGCCTCACTAAATTGCTTAGGGCCTCACAAAGTTGCTGAGGCTGGCCTTGAACTTGTGGGATCTTCCTGCCTTAGCCTCCCAAGTCACTGTGCCACCATGCCTGGTTTATTTTATATTCTTAAATAACTTTTTAAAATTATCAAAGTAATAGCTTCTTACTATAAAAATCAGTTACAATCCTAGAGATAACAGCTATCTGGTACCTCTTTCCAATCTTTTAATTCCTACATAACTTTTAGTATAGCTGAGATCACTCTATATATGAAATTTAGTATCTGGCACACTGGACTACAACAGGAACATGTTCCAAATGATTAAGCACCTTATAAATATAACTGAGAGGTTACCTAATAATTCACTTTGGGCATGTACCATAAGTTAATAAATCATTCACTTTGGTGAATATTTAGATTATTTCTAGGCTTTCATTTATAAATAATTCTTTAATGAACTTTATTGGCCAGTAAGCTTTTTTTTTTTTTTCAATTTTAGCTACCTATTAAAGATATGCTTGGAAGCAGAAATTCTAGGACAAAGGATATCGAAATTTGTAAGACCTTAATATATACTGCTTTCATCATTTCTAATTTACAGTGCTATTAGATTGTAAAAGTGCCTCCTTCATGACACTTTTTATAATTAATGTTTATTTTCTAATCTTACCTACATTGATAAAAGAAAATGCTATCTCAAATATTATACTTTATTACCCATAAGACTTAGGCTGCAATACTGTTTACCACTTGGAATACCTTTTAGTATGAATATACACTTTCCTTTGCCTGTTTATCTGCTGAGTCTTACTATTTTTCTAAATGAGTTGTATACACTATTAATAAATTAAGGATATTAACCATTTTTTTATATTTGTTGTGAATATTTCCAAGTTACTTTCTCTTAACTTTTAAGTCATTAAATCTATAGTTCTTTTTCCTTGTTTTATTTATTGATTCTAAATTTAGAAAGGCCTTTCTCATAAAGACATTTGGCACATGTATAATTACATTTCCTTCTTATTTTTTTAAACATTAACATTTTCATTCTTATTAACAGCTTTCACTAAATGCCTGATTTCCTCAGCATTATGTGGAAATTCTTTCTTTCTCTATTGAACAACTTTATGTAGTCATAATTAAGATACCAGCCTCTTAACAGTACCTGAAATCCAAGTCCTAGTTCTGTAATACTGTAGTTATTCCTACAAAAGATGCACCATATTTCCATACTGCAATTCTTGGCTTGCCCATGAAACTTGCTCTGATCAGTGGCATCAGGAACAGATGTGATCTGTGCTAGTCCTTAAGAGGTATTGCGCTTTTCTGATTGCCCTACTGAGCCTCTGGGATCACCAGGTAACAGTTTTCCCCTTTAGCCTGGGTCCCAAAAGAAACAAAGAAGCAGAGCTGTCCCAGCTATTCTGCAAGTGGTGGTGCAGGATAAGCAGGAAAACCAGCCACTGCAGTGGGAAAGTAGGGTTGCCCAGTTGACCTCAACCCGATCAGCTTACTTCCCAACCAACTTGTGAATGTGTTAGAAATAAATTCTTGTCATTGACTACCACTGAGATTCTGGAGCTACTTTGTTACAGAGCAATAGCTGATTTTATATCTTTATATTGAGATTTCATGGTTTGGTGGTAGAAACTCTGCCTTTTAGAGCAAAGGACAAATGGCAGAATTTCCTCTCATCTCACTCCTGTCTATACTATCTTGACTCCAAGGGCAAAGGCGATTGTTCTTTCCTTCAGATCAATGTCATCAAGTGCTCTTTTGGATTCTATCAAATCACTAAATGCTTCACTTGGATTTTGCTATGGTACTTTTTTTTTTTTTTTTTTTTTTTTTGGTACTGGGACTGAACTCAGGAGCACTTGACCACTGAGCCACATCCCTATCCCTTTTTATTTTATTTTTTTAAATTTTGAGACAGGGTCTTACTAAGTTGCTGAGGCTGGTTTTGAACTTTCAATCCTCCTGCCTCAGCCTCCTGAGCTGCTGAGATTATAGGCATGAGCCACTGCACCCAGCTGTTTGTGTCATTTATTTTTAAATGATTTTTTTGGTGTGTATACTAAAGGAAACTAGGAATGCATGATGTTTAATGTCCTGATGCTATTTTAAGCCAAAGATTCACTATGAACACCTGCCATTTAAAGAAGTCTTTGGGAGAATGAGATTGAGGGATACAAATTCATTAAAATAAATAGAATCAGGAAAATTGACCATTACTACTCGATTGTTGCCTTGGTAAGTGTTTGCTCTCCAAATATGAGAGCTGAGAGTGTAATAGGTACTTAACATACTAAGCCAGGTGACCTTGAAGTTATCCTTGGATTAAATGAGAATCTTGATGGCTAAGTTAAAGTAGTTATAATTCCTTTAGAAAGGGAGAAACTAAATTCCCCAAGACATTGGGATTCTCTTTTATCTGTCTTCTCACCATTGGCACCAAAAGATATTGGTATTAGAAGGTCCTAGTAAAAAAACCCTTTACTAAGGAATGAAATTGACCAAATTATAGTATTATATTGTGTGCATGTGTAACAACAAATTCCACTGTTATATATAATAATCAACAATAAAAAGGGAAAAATTAAATTAAAAAAACCACTTTTTTCAAAGAAGAAAATTTAATATGCAAGTATACTTTTGTGAACTAGCAACTTAGGCCTGGCCTCTTAATAAACTTTAAGGGTAAATAAATTTTACTACTTAAGCAAACAACATGTAGCACTATTAATCCTGGCCCACTGAAGAAATAACTAAGTCTATGAGATTAACAAGAAGAGGATTTAAGCTGGCCAGGAAAGACATGTAGGGTTTGGGCAAGACACAAGAGGATATCCCCCCAAACAGAAGAAAAACAAGGGTGTGGGGGGGGGAGGATAGACACTATGAAAACCCACATGGAGAGGCACAGGCAACCAGGTATGAAATTTACTTGGGCTCAAAAAGGAATAAAACTCCAATGGATGAAAAAAAATCCTTGCTTTTGCTGAGGCTGGCTTTGAACTTTCCATCCTCCTGTCTCAGCCTCCTGAGCCACTGGGATTACAGGTGTGTGCCACCACACCCAGCCCCAGGTGTTCATTTTAATCCTTCCTTACCTTCTGTTGAAGTCAACCTGGATAGAATGGTCAATTACAAGATCAGCAGGACAGACAGGGTTTATTTTCTCTGGATCTCCTCCCAACTTTTTCACAGCATCACGCATTGCAGCAAAGTCAACCACAGCTGGCACACCCCTAAGAAAGAGAGAATTAAGCAGAAAATAGCTTTAAAGAGGTATAATCAGATTTTGCAATTTTTGCCACCATTGAAGATACTGATGAGGGACTACCTTGTCAGAGTTGATAACAACAGGTAACTTAGAAAAGTGAAAGTTTCTAAGTATATTTCCTCCAATAGAAGTCACATAGCTAACACAGTCACATAGCTATGACTTAAGGGTCTTCATCCAATTTTACCACTATACTAAGTTTAATGACAATTAGGTCTAAACAAAGAAACTGGGAAAGCTGGCACATACACTCACGAGCTTTTACTGCTGTGACCATTTCCCACTTTCATGGTGGGTATATAAAGACCTGGAGAAGACAGACAGATCATACCTTCAACTTCAGCCAAATTTAAAAAAATGGATGTAATTTAGAAAAGTAGGCTGTGAATCAAATTTATGTTAAGTGAATCCTTCTATTATCTTAAAAGTATAAAATTTGGTGATTTTCCTCCAGAAAAATGAAATTAGGCTGTTTGGAAAAAAATGGTATCATTTAAAAATGGAAAGACTGCCTCAGAAAAGGGAATGTGATAGGAAGCAAGGATTCCTAGGAACAGCAGGATGTGGACTAATAGTCAGGCCTGTGAAGTACATATTGTCCCTCACAGACAGAACCAGAATGTTCAAGTATAGCTGTCAGGAACCTGGCTCCCTGGGCAAAAGTTTCCAGGACAGCTCTGCTCCACACACTTTCTTTTACCTTTCCCTGGGATACTCAGGACTAGATCTTCAAAACCAAGGATGATGACAACTGCCACTGGAAAAGTGGGTAGACAGCACTTCTGGGATCGCCTGAGACAATCCCAGTTTATTCTTGCTGCCAGGAACAAGAACCCCCTTTTTCTTTTGAAAGTGTCTGGATATTAGGTGATAAATTAAACAATCACTACAGAGATTTTTTGGTTGGATTAAAAATAAAAATAATAAAAATTTTCTTGAAAGGCTGACAAAGGAGCAGTAAAGAAAGAAGTGACATTAGGCTCACGTAAAGTCCTGTAGGATGACACGGGCAGGCTTAAATGGTACTTCTATGTTCTTATGCTGCATGATATTCCAATTTAGGATATTTTCAATGTCATTTTTCTTCACCAAAAACTCATCACAGTTCCGAACAGCTGCCTCCAGGAGAACTCTGATTGAAAATGGTAAGCGTACTGGGAATAAAGGAGGAAGCATTAGAAAACAACAACAACAACAACAAAAACATGAGATACCATAAGAACGCTCTTTAAAACCTATCATTATGCAAACTTGAGATGAGGCATCAGATCATTCTTCCAACAGGTTAAGAGGGTAAATTAGCTGATAGTTCAAGATAATGAGTAAATTTAAGAGACATTCAGTAGTAGAAAATGCTCAGATTAGTCAAAACCCAAATATTACAGTTTATTTTTTCTCTCCTATTAAAGGTTGCCTTGGATTCAATAACACAGAGTCATCACATCTCACTATCAGTCTAGATTTTCACTGTATTATGTTGGCAAGTATTACATATGTTCATATACTTGCACAGAAAAACATTTATGAAAAGTAATGCTCAAAAAATGAGAAAAAAATAATCCTTTTACAATTACTATAATTGAGTCCATAGAATCTTTGATATGAAATAAAACCCTAAACATTACATAGCACTATCATTGGTAACTGGAGTTTCTAGGACAAAACAATGGTAATTCATAAGAAAACATATTTTGTTTATTTACAAAACAGAAGTTAAATCTTGATATATGAAAATTATTTACCAATACTATCTGAAAAAGACAGTGAAAGAGAGGAAAAAGCTTTGGAATAAAGCTTTTTATTCCAGGATTTGGAATAAAAATAACTTGTGTTCTTGTCCTCTTCTGCTGCCCACACTTGTTATCTGAGCACACATCATTGACTCACTCTGGGCCTCAGCTCACTCAGGACTTTTTGCATTTTATAAACATGACCCCATGTGGTTATTACTCACATAAAATCATAGGCTATTTATCTACAAACACTATATATTATGATGTGATAAAGTTACATGTAACTAAAAATAACCAATGTAAGAAAGGTGTGTGTGTGTGTGTGTGTGTGCGCTTAATCCAAGAACATTCAGCCATTCTGTTATTCCCTCTTTCAATGCTCCTCAAAGTTAATTAATAATATAGCTTAATTATTATGCAAATGAATCCCAATTGCTATCTGAGAAAATACATTATAGAGCCATGTACCTACCATATCTTGAATCCTCCAATTTATTCAAATTGAAGAATTTCTTTCCTGGTTGTGCAGGATCCAAAGGCTCAGAAAGGTGTGAAAATGGGTTCTTCATGATTACTGATAGTCACGTGTCCCTAAGAAAAAGAACTTGTTACTTTCGAAGTTGGGCCTTCTTTTAATGATTACAGCACACAGTCACTTACAGATTCTATACTTGTTATTTTCTCAAAATTCAGGGATGAGGGGAATTAAATGAAGACAAGAAAGACACTCTTAGCAAATGTAATGGGCTTCTGTATAGCTAATGTGAAAGCATTTATCTCTCTAGATAGCACAAAACCATAAACTTCTTTTGTCCTATTTCTACAACTTCCCAATATTCTTCCTCTGTTAAGAGTTGGGCAAAAGGGAAATGAAGGATGTGTCTCACAGAAGACCATGAGAATGTGAACAGACTTCTGAGATGGACTCATAATTTTATATAATTAAACATGCAATTACATAAAATCTGAACATAAAAGAAGACTTGACAGAAGTCATTTTTGGTACTTATATATTTTCTATTATAACTATTTTTGCAACATTTTAATTTTTACTTAATTTATTTTTGGTATTGGGACTTAAACCCGGGGTGCTTTACTACTGAGCTACATCCATAGCCCTTTTTATTTTTTATTCTGAGAAAGGGTCATGCCAAGTTCCTGAGGCTGGCTGGCCTTGAATGCCTCAGCCTCCCACATTTGCTTGGATTACAGGCACACAATCAGTCTTTGCAGCACTTTTATTAAACCTGAACACCATAGTTAGAAATCTTCCTGATTTGCTTTGGCATATGGTGGCATTAGTATGTTGACATCGGCAATCTTTTTGTTTTAAGCACTGAGGATTGAACTCAAGGCCTCGTGAACATCAGACCATCTTTAAAGTATTCTGTGATAGCATAAAGGTCTAAACTCCCCAGATATGTTTACAGAGGACCCTCTACCCCAGAACTTCTCAGATATCTCTTTACAAATTACAAGCAGTGAACAGTGGAAGACAATGTTCCTGACCCTTACTACATAGATAAAGAACAATTTTAAATAATTACATAACTCAGAGCAAAATGAAGTGGGGTGGGAGTCAGAGGACTTGCTTTTCTGGTCTTACCTCTTGAGCAAAAAACCTGTTAGTCAATCCATTTCCCATTTTTTTTTTTTTTTTTTTGAGATAAGGTCTCTCTCAGTTGCCTAGGGCCTCATCAGTTTTTAAGGTTGGCCCTAAACTTACAATCCTCCTGCCTGAGTCTCATTTAAGGTAAGAATAGTTAACACTGTCCTGCTTTCCCAAAGTTTATATGAGTAAATATTACTCACATATTCAAAATATTTATGGAATGACCTATATGGAAGGGATCAATATATTATTATAAAATGAAAAAACACCATGTAATATAAAGGACTGTTTGTGAGGATAAAATGTTACAAGTGTGCCTTGTCTCTATAGACAGGATCCTGTTTACCTTCATTAAGGACATAACAGGGACTGATTCCCTTAAGAGGAACACAGACCTAGAAGTTAAGACTGGGATGAAGACATAGTTTTTAGTTTTTGCCTTTTTTTTAAAGCTATGAATACGAATAACAACAAAAAGTAAAAAAACTAGTTAAAATTTTAAAATAAAATTTGTACTTCTCTTCTGTACAGGCCTAGTACACGTTGAATATCTCGATTCCAAGAATCTGAAATCCAAAATGAAGAAAAAAGCAAACTTTTTGAGTACTGACATAGAGCCATAAGTGGAAAATTCCACACCTGACCTCACATGAAAACACTGTTACGCTAAAAGTACTGTCTAAAATTACCTTTAGGCTACCTGTATAAGATACATATGAAGCATAAGTGAAATTAATTTTGAGACTTGGGTCTTATTCCAATGACATCTCATTGTGCACATGCAAATATTCCAAAATCCAAAATAATCTGAAATTTGAAACTCTTCTGGTCTTAAGCATTTCAATAAACAGTATGCAGCCTGTACTAAGTGGTTTTGGGAAGAAGCAATTGGTTGAGACATGGGTTCTGTCTTCCTGGAGTTATCAGTGCAGCAGGCAACAGGACATGGCACAGGTATCAGACAATGCCGAGTTCAGGAAAGGGAGGTTCTTTGCAAAGCCCCTTTTCTTGGAACTCCTTGTTTAACCTCATCTCACATGATTTTGGCAGCAGCTGCCACTTGGCAGTAGTGAGAGAAGGTATTTGACTTCATCTAGGCCAACTTCCTTCTCCAGGAATTATGAAATGAAGACTAAATAAAAAAAAAAATCCAGCCAGGGAGGATGGAACATCCCTAATGCTTATAAAAGTACTTATCCTAGTCCATCTGTATGATAATTACCTGGGCATCTTTCCCGTTAAAAATAAAAATGCCTGAGTACTTCCCTTCCCTCTGACCAGAACAGACAGATGAAAGGGCAGGTATCACCAATTTAGCTTCCCAAGTGGTCAGTTTGAGAATCGCTACTGGAAGCTGAGGGATGCCAGGTGAGAATTTACACCCAATTCAGGAAGCAGTAGGTAGCACAGGGAGCGGGAATTCCTAGAGTCACAACCAAAATGCCTTCAGGGCACAGACAAGGAATCTGTGCAAGTAAAGCAGGCTGCACTGGCATGGTGGCCTTAGTTTTGGAGGTGACAGTGCATATAAGATAAAGTGCCACACAAAGGCAAAAGATTTGTTAGTAACTGCCACTAAGTTAGAAGCTAGCCAGGAGGGAAAAAAAAAAAAAAACCTGTCAATACTGTTTTTTTTTTAATTTTTTTATTAGTTTTTAATGAATCTTTATTTTATTTGTTTATTTATATGCAGTGCTGAGAATCAAACCCAGTGCCTCATACATGCTAGTGCAAGCACTCTACCATTGAGACACAACCCCAGCCCAATACTCTGTTTAATAAGAAACATACTACTTACCTGCCTGCAGAAGTTTACAAATCTGTGGGCTCAGAAATGAGACTAATCATTCCAATGACTGGAATTATGAAAGCATACATTTAAAAAGACCATACTGCTACTCTCTCTGTTATCCATGCCACAACCCCAACTTAACTTTCTTACTCCAAATAGCAGTAACTTCAATAGTAAAACTAGTTTTTACCTGACTGGAGAAAAGGATCATAGAAGAACATCTCTACAAAGGCTGTGGGGCTTTTTAGTGTTTCTGAAGCTAGACAAAGTGGTGGGAAACCCTTGGGGAACAGATCAAGATAGGTCATTCCTCTGTCCAGAACTTAGGGTTCTGAAACGTGCAGTCTCTGTGTTAGATTCTAAAGGGTCAAGGGCCCAAAGTCTGCTACGATTCTACGGCTAAACCAGTTGCTAAGCTATACCCATATTTGCCGCCATACACTGGGGACCAGATGTGTCTATTTACTTTCTCGGTAGCTTACAAACAGCCTTGACGTTATTAACACTGGAAGACTCACATGATTCCTGATAGTCCCACCATCCTACAAAGCCCATATTTCAGATGGATACAAGACCAATATTGACTCTTACAGAAAGCGGTTTGTGTGAAAAGCTCTACTGTCTGCCTCCTGTTTCCTTTCAAAACTAGCTGTCTACATTCATTAGTCATGAAGAAAATTTGACTTGTAGAGGTTAGGGGAAAGAGGAAGCAATTACCACTTGCTAAATAGGAGCATGTGCCAAATTCTTTAAACTGTCTTCTCTAATCCTGGCAACAGCTTCATAAATGAAAACATATCATTATTCCCATTTTATAACTGTGGAAACTGCAGCTCAAAGGGATGGAAAAACTTGCCCATGGGAATATATCTAGTAAGAGGAAGAGCTAGATTTTGAACCTGGCTCTTTCTATTGCCCCACTATACCTCAATAGATGTGGCAGCTCCTGCTCTGAAGGTCACTACCAGGCCCCTAGAGCTGAAGATAGCCACAAGAAATCTTCTAGAGATTCAGGTTTGAAAGCTGGTGCTGTCTTTACTTCTCTCCACTGGTCCCCTGGCACCTAGTCAGACCAGGAATTGTCACTTGTCCCTTCCACTTTTTACTGAGCTATAGGTCAATAGGAAACAGTAACAGCTATATTAAGGCAGCAAAAAAAAAAAAAAAAAAAAGGCTTTGCTTGGAAGCTGGGGAAAAGCCCCTCCACAGAATTTGGCAGGACACAGGAATTCAGAACTACTCTAAGGTTCCATCTATACTATCACCCTTGTGGCAAATCTGGAGGTCTCTATGGGTTAGTAACCCCCTGAGAAACCCCCTTCATAACCTTAAAATGACCCCCTTAAACTCCCTTACAATGACCTTTTAATGCATTTGAGTTTTCTTAAAAAAAATTTCAGACCTTACAATTGTTTAGAAAATTATTTTTTTCCACTTATCAGTAGACAACAAATATCTTAATATGGCAGTCATGATATTTCACATCTTTTTTAACTACACCATAAAAATCTTAATAAGATAATAATTTGCTTCAATCCTTTTCATTAAAATACTTAGGTTATTTTCAAGTATTACCATTCAAACAATGCTGCAACTCTTGCATACAAATGTTGGAATGTCCTTAATCCATTAAGTTAAATAAATTCCTAGCTTTTAGTTTCTAGAAGTAGGGCAGCAGGGTTAAAGGATTTACATTTCTTCATCTTGTTACAACGCACCAAGATACCCAGGAAAGGCTGTCTTAATTTAATGACCCTTTTCTGAAATAGTGAATGCAGGTGCCCAAACCAGGCAACACAATTCATTTTTATCTTCTGCCCAAACAAGTGATTAAAAGGCTAATCTTGGCATCTCTTTAATAGCTAAATTAAATGATTTCCCACCTATGTTAGACATCTGAATTTCTTCATTTATATATCAACTGTCTGTCAAGACTGATCAAACTGAGAGGCACTATCATGGCCTTTAGTGACCAAATGTTCTCATCTCCAAGAGATTTTACTGACATACTAACCTGGATGAGACTCAGTTCTGTAACCTGGAGAGCTTGATACTATCCTTGGCCTCTACCTAGACTCAAGACTTACAATCCACAAGACTTCCCCTTACATGAACAGCAGCCCTAAAATATTTGTATAACTTGACTTTATGCTTGTATACATGCGAGACTAACTAGTTACAGCAAGA